TATCGCCTTCTATAAGCAACGATACGATTTACATTCAGTTTTGGAAGAATCTCCCTGAAACGTATGCACCAGTGGCTTTCGATTGTACTATTGAACATTTTCAAGGAATCGAGGTTATATTTTATATCGATAATTATCATTATAAGAATTAAAAGTCTATTCTAGAATATTCGTTCCATAGAAATAATTTTTATTGGCGCACACCGTTTTCTCTGAAGGGGAGAACTTCGTTTAAGTAATTCTCTTTTGAAATAATAATTTCAGAAGTAATTAACACTTGATATTGAATCAATAATTTGTTGAATTACGGATAAAATTGTTACCGTCTTTGAAGATTTTTTTAAAGAATTTCTCAACTGTTGCTCTTCAATTTTAAAATGACTATTATACAGATAGAAACTAGATAACGATAGAAACTAAAAATTCTAGAATGATCTGCTTATTCCAATATTTCTCTCTCTGTCTCCAAAATAATTACCGAATTAAGATAAGAGCGAGCGACAAAAGGACAAAAATTTACAGCGAACAGCGTCGATCGAAACGAACGAGGGACTCACGATTTTTTACGCGTCTTACGACCCTAATCTATGCACTGAAGGGAAAAATGTCTTATTTGGAATCGTTTTATCAACCTTTGTGTTAACAGCGGCGGCGACTACGACCGCAACGACTATAACAATCTTCATTCTGATGAATTCTTCTTAGCAACTTCCGCGAATGGAAAATATTCGTGATCGACTGAAAACTCCGATCCGTAGATCCTATTATTTATACCGCGGATGCGATCGTAAAAAAAGTCTCAACAGGGACATTCGATCGTGATATTGGCTAAACGATAATTATGCTTCGCTGTTGCATTCTGTCCATCTGTTCGACCGCTTTTCAAAACGTGACAGCTGTCGAATCACGTTCTCAATTAAATCGCTATTAATAATTCCGCTTATTTTGTACGTTGTAGAAAATACGATACGAATTTTCCGTAATTGACGCTGAGATTCTACAAATAACTAGACAATTTTGGAAGAGATAATGCGATTTTTCATAGTAAACACTTTTCAACGATTTTAAAAAACGAGAACCGCGAGGCTCGAATAAATCATTTCTCCGCTTCCCAAATTGTCCATTTTTGTGCGCAATCTGAGCAGTCAATTAGAAAGACATTACTGTGTCGTAGTTTGCTCTGTCTAATGTTTCTCTCGTGTTACATAAAAACCGTCAGAACGACTATAGTGAATATACAGTGTGTCCCAAAAATGTCTCGCAATCCGAAAGTGGTGGGTTCCTCGGGTCATTCGAAGCAACTTTTTCCTTTACAAAAATTTTCTCCGACGCACCGTTAACGAGTTATCAACGAAAAACAGTGACCAATGAGAGGCGAGCTCGGCTGGCGCGAGGCGACCGAGCCAATGAGCGGAACTGAACTTCTCGCGCTGGTTGGCTGGGCCGCCTCGCGTCAGCCGTACTCGATTCTTATTGGTCACTGCTGTTTCGTTGATAACTCGTTAACGGTACCTCGGAGAACATTTTCGTAAAGGAAGAAGCTGCTTCGAATGATCCGAGGAACCCGCCATTTCCGGATTGCGAGACATTTTTGGGACACCCTGTAGAACAAATATATAGAACAAATCGCGGCTATAGTGATCGATCGCATAACCGTAATAAATAATAATACACACTGTTATAACCGAAATACTTTTATTGTTTAATATTGGAAGTCATTCCCCCGTAATTTGCAAGTTTACAAAGCTTTCTCCCATAAGCCCCTTGGTTTCGTTGAAGCGCGACCGTTCGCATCGATCTTCCTTTTCTTTTTTTTACATTTTGTCCATGCAGTTACCAAATTTCTCCATCACGACGCATTCGTCGCCGGCGTCTTTCACTGAAACAATCGCAGATCCGTTAAGATAAACGTTGCTACAATTTCACTTTAAATAATCGTTTATTAACGATCGATGTTCGTTCTCACCTTCTTCGACGCAGGTTTCGATCCCCTTACCCATCTCTTCAACCTTTTCGGGGAACGTTTGCGAAACGAGTTCGATCATTTTATCCGCTACTATTTGACCGTCGACCATCTACAAATTCCATTTCGTTTTTAGGAAATCCATTCGGGGCTTGTCGTTCGAGTAAAATTTATTGATTTTTCATCGATTTTTCAATACGGATACGTTGTTGCACGGTTAAATTTACAGCGATTCGGGAGCCGGCAGGTAAATTTAAACGTGCAGGACATTTTTTCTACTCGCTTGGAGTAGAATTATAGAGTGCTATATTATAGTATTATATAGAGAGTGGTATATTAAAATATTATAGAGTGCTATATTATAGTATTATAGAGCGCTGTTATAGTATTATAGAGTGCTATACTATAGTATTATAGATTGCTATATTATAGTATTATAGAGCGCTATACAATAGTATTATAGAGTGCTATATTATAGTATTATGGAGTGTTATACTATAGTATTATAGTATATAATAATGCTATATAATACTATACTATTATAGACTGCTACATTATAGTATTATAGAGTGCTATTCTATAGCATTATAGTCTGCTATGTTATAGTATTATAGACTGCTACTCTATAATATTATAGAGTGCTATATTATAGTATTATAGAGTGCAATACTATAGTATTATAGAGTTATTTAATGCAATTAAATAATTAGATTTTGTGGGAGTTTTTGTGATTGATTTTTTCGGCACTTTGATTGACAACCGTTTTCAATAATCATTGAGCAATGTTAGCATGCAATTATTCCTAGGAATTATTCTACTCACTATTTCGCGTCGTTTCATGATGCAAGCGTACGTGCAGTATAGTTTGCCTATGTCTTCGGGTGACATGTCGGATTTAGATACTGGCCCCGCGTCACCTGGAACTGTCATCGATAGACGTATTCGTTAGAGAGTAATTAATCAATTAATTAAGGAGTGCTTAAATTCTTTCTCGAGTCAGTGTATGTATATCTGAAATCATTTTGTTTATAAATTGTATACATACTTGACAGGCCGGCTTCACCAGCGCACGGAACGAAATCATCCTTGATGACTTCGAATAATTTCTGTTCTACCTCGTCGAGATCACCGCGCACCACTGCCTAAATGAAGCAATTATAGTATACTTGAATTAAACGAACTCGAATCTAAGTAATATTTATGGTATAATTATTTATGGTATAATATATTATTTACAGTATAATTATTTATAGTATAATTATTTATGGTATAATTATTTATGGCATAATTATTTATGTACAATTATTTATAGTACAATTATTTATAGTATAATTATTTATAGTATAATTAAATGCGAATGTTACACGATTTCGAGGGGAAATACAACGATTTTATTTATTTATTACATCGACGGTTATTTGACTGGTAACTTTGATTTTTTAAACGGAAATCTACATTTTTATTTACTGATTTTTATTGTAGTAAGAAAAGCAAAGAACGCAAAATTATTCGACCGTTTATTCGAATAATTTTTTTCCAGACGAAAATTATTATCCATGAAATTACTCAAGGATAGTTTATTGTTCTACTGTTTATTTATTCAAGAATAATTAATCCACGAGGAACTAGTGTTCGAGTGTAAAATAGTTGCTCTTCTTTGCGAATCGAAATGATTTCTAAGCTAATCTCATTCGGCGACTTGTTCGCGAACAAAATTATTCGACCGTTTATATAGTTATTTATTATTTATTTATTTATTTATATTTTATTATAATCGTCCAGACGAAAATTATTATCCGAACAACGCCGAACCTCGAACATGCTATCGCACTAAATCGCATTTTCATATCACGCCGACGCCGGTTCGACGTTTCGAAAATGCACGCCGCGCGCCATAATCGCGCTTATTGTTCTACTCACTGCGACAACGAGGAGGCTGCAGATAAGCAAAACGGACTTCATGGTGGTGGCGCTCTGAACGTCACAGCTGCTTCGACAGGAGAATCTGATGGCAAACTGATGGCTGCCGATGCTTAAACACGATATTTATATGTCGCGGATATTTATCGTTCCAGGTGTTAGATCCTGTGCAACAACAGGAAGGGAAATAATTGGCCCGCTTATCTGATTTTTTTTTACGTAACGCCATTTTAATTGCATTCTGACAGGAGCGATCAATTCGCGACGCCGATTCTTCAACCGATTCCTTCGCGAAAAGAAAAAAAATCGTCCTCCCTCCCCCCATTCGGCGAACAGTCTGGAAATGTCGCGTTGTCCGCGAGCGAGACAATGGGCGATCGTTGTTGCAACGAAGCGGGCTCGTTAGGAAATTTACGTTCTCGCGCGCAATTTAGTTTTGCTAGACCGACGACGCTTATGCAAACAGAAACCTTCGCGGATAATCGTGCCGTGATTTTATGGATCAACGATTTTACGAGACGACTCGAAGACAATGATTTCTATACGATTTATCGTTGCAGGATCAGATTCTTCTGGAAACACGTGAAATATGGTCGAGAATTTATTCGGTGCAATCGAGAATAGGAAGAAGTCTTTCGAATTTTTATAACGCGCGAAAAATGGTTAAAATTTTATTTTATATATATTTTATAATCTTAATGTTAAATAGATATAATAATGATAATGTAAAATAAATATGATCTTAAATAATTTATACTCTTTTGGCTCGGAGCACCTTAGGAGCGTGTGGCTGCCTGTTGCTTTATACAGAGTGTCCCAGAAATATCCCACAATGAAATGAGGGATTCCAGAGGTAATTTGCAGTAACTTTTTCCTTAGCGAAAATTCAATCCGCGGCTTCGTTTACGAGTTATCAACGAAAAACGGGGTCCCGATGAGAGGGCAGCTCGGCTGACGCCACGCCCTCGCGTCGCGCCAGCTGTCTGGCGTAGCGGCGATGGCCGCGAGGGCGTGGCGTCGGCGGTCTCTCATTGGGTCAGCGTTTTTCGTTGATAACTCGCGAACGAAGCGGCGGATTGCATTTTCGCTGAGGAAAAAGTTACTGCAAATGATCTCAGGAATCCATTATTTCCTGGAATTGACATAATTTTGGGACACCGTGTGTATATGAAGCGGTTCTCTCCCATAGAATCTCTTTGTTCTTTTCCATCGAAATTAATGAAAGCATTTTAATCATTTTACAATATTTCACATCTTCAAGAAATTCCAGTCGCTTCGTTCAATTTGCAAATTAGTTATTCTGATTAAAATTAATTATCCCGATTTGAAAACTATTGAAATATTAATACGAGTCACTGTATATAAAATAATATACGCATGAAAATAGAACAATTATTATACCAGAACAATTTCCACTCGTTCTCACGCGTGTCCGCAATTTGTTTAAATTTTAGACAGCATGAAAATCGGCGTAAAAATTTTGCGGTTCAATTGTCACCGTTAAAATCTGTTCGTGCACAGAGGCAATTAATTCGCCTGATTCCAGAATGTTACAGCAAAGTAGAAACATTGTGTAACAGCGAAGATTCCAGCTAAATTGGCGGCCGTCTCTTTAATCAGGCTCGGGCGGAAGTGTTGATGGATTTCGTAGAACATTTTCATTTCGATCTATTGTCTCGGCCGATTATTATGTCGCTTCNGTTATCAACGAAAAACGGGGTCCCGATGAGAGGGCAGCTCGGCTGACGCCACGCCCTCGCGTCGCGCCAGCTGTCTGGCGTAGCGGCGATGGCCGCGAGGGCGTGGCGTCGGCGGTCTCTCATTGGGTCAGCGTTTTTCGTTGATAACTCGCGAACGAAGCGGCGGATTGCATTTTCGCTGAGGAAAAAGTTACTGCAAATGATCTCAGGAATCCATTATTTCCTGGAATTGACATAATTTTGGGACACCGTGTGTATATGAAGCGGTTCTCTCCCATAGAATCTCTTTGTTCTTTTCCATCGAAATTAATGAAAGCATTTTAATCATTTTACAATATTTCACATCTTCAAGAAATTCCAGTCGCTTCGTTCAATTTGCAAATTAGTTATTCTGATTAAAATTAATTATCCCGATTTGAAAACTATTGAAATATTAATACGAGTCACTGTATATAAAATAATATACGCATGAAAATAGAACAATTATTATACCAGAACAATTTCCACTCGTTCTCACGCGTGTCCGCAATTTGTTTAAATTTTAGACAGCATGAAAATCGGCGTAAAAATTTTGCGGTTCAATTGTCACCGTTAAAATCTGTTCGTGCACAGAGGCAATTAATTCGCCTGATTCCAGAATGTTACAGCAAAGTAGAAACATTGTGTAACAGCGAAGATTCCAGCTAAATTGGCGGCCGTCTCTTTAATCAGGCTCGGGCGGAAGTGTTGATGGATTTCGTAGAACATTTTCATTTCGATCTATTGTCTCGGCCGATTATTATGTCGCTTCGTAATCAAAGCGTCTTCGTCGTCGAGCGCAACCAAATGCTCGACCTTTGCTTGTCGTTCGCGGACCGATGCGTTGGCGCAGATAAAGACGCCTCGGCCGTGAGACGACGAGAGTTGCAATTCAAAAGAGCCGTCATATCTTCCGCGTGGTATCGCGTGCGCGCGCGCGCCCGCTTCGCGGCCTTCTTAAACTGCATTGCCAAGTTCACGCCAATCGTTGCGCGATCTCGAGACGGTTGCGTGATCGCGAAGCCGACTTTTACGACGTTTATATATTTTATTATATTCAATATGTTTCACTTCATTATATTTATTTTTTATTCATTATATTTTCTATTGATTTATTTATTATATTTTTTGGCGATTTATTTATTATATTTATTTCTCTTATTGATTATATTTTTTATTGATTTATTTATTATATTTATTTCTTATTTATTATATTTTTTATTAATTTATTCATTATATTTATTTTTTATTAATTTATTTATTATATTCATTTTTTGTTTATTGTATTTTTTATTAATTTATTTCTTATTTATTATATTTTTTACTGATTTATTTATTATATTTATTTTTCATTGACTACATCTTTTATTAATTTCATTATATTTAATCACGACGCTGCGTTAATTAAAAATCATTGAGCAAAACAATTGGAGGAGCAAGCGATGCTTCCTTCGTTAAATGAGATGAACAAAATTGTGTAACAAATGATTGAAAAGTTTCTTTTCAGCTTTCAATTCAAATTCTCCGATTCAAATTCGTTTAATTCAATAATGAAATTTTTTTATTGCCGGTCTGTTGGATTTAAACGATTCTCTCTGCTGCTGAAACACGCAAGTCAATATACGCGCGAATCCGACAGAAATTGTACGAACAGAAAAAGTCATCATTTTACAAAAAAGTGTTTTCATCCGTTCCGGGTAATTAGCCGTTTCCACATATTCCCTGCGGCCTGCTGTTACTCATCTAAATAGCTGGCCTTTTTTTGCAAGCTATCATCCCACTTTTTGCATACGCCGGATCGATGTAAACGACATCGGTCTGATAACCGTTCGCGAACTAATTACAGTACCGCGGAGCTCGATATTTAAAGCAAACGTTCGAACGTCGCGGAGGTCGGATCGGTGTCCCCAACTTGGAACGGGCATTTGAAGTTCCCTATCTTGGAACGGGAATTTGAAAGGCCCGTTCCAAAATGGGGACGTCGAATATTGAACGCCGGGGACATAGCGCGAAAACGGTGTCACGTGACAGTAATGTTATTATTATTATTATATTAATATGTTACTATTATTATTATTATTATTATTATATATTTTTATATTATTATATATATATATTAATATGTTATTATATTATTATTATTATTATGATTATTATATATATTTTTTTATCATTATTATATATATTATAATATTATTTAATTATATTATTTATTTATTTATATTATATATATTAATATGTTATTATTATTTATCTTATTGTTATTTAATTCGTAGCAAGGGCCACCGCGACATCGATACTTTTATAAAACAACGAAGAATAGATATTTTTCTGCTTTTTATTAATTTACATTCAAGAAGAACAACATAACAAAATAGTTGCTGGGAATAATTACACTGGCAATTGCATATTGAATAATTTTTTAATGGATTTTTATTGCGAATAACAATGAAACGATGCTATACCACGATACTACGATACGATGGCACTATTCTTATTAAAATGGAATAATGCATAATCGATAATGCACATTTTTTTTACGATCGATAAGACGTTGTCGCAAATAAAAGCGAATTCTTTTCTTTTTCATACAATTCTAATTCTAATTTTATACAATTCTAAAATTACGCTTCGATTTAATCGGCTGAAAATCATATCAATTCTCTTTTATATTTCTCAACGTCTGCCACTTTGTAAATACTAAGTAATGTCTCTCTAATTGACGCATCGTGTGGACTTTCGGATTGTCCACGGAAATGGACAAATTGGAAGGAGGAGATACGATTGATTCGAGTACTCGCGCCTCGTTTTTACAATCATCGATTGTCAACAATCATAAAAACGAGACGCGAGGCTCGAATAATCGTGTCTCCTCTCCCCAAATTGTCCACTTTCGTGGACAATCTGAGCGTCAATTAGGGAGACATTACAAGTGTCTGTAACAAAAAAAGAAATGTAAAATCGTTTCTCTTCTCGAATCGTTTGTTTTCTTGAGAAGATCGATCTATTTTCCAAGGATCTGCGATCACGATCTCGCATCGATTTGATAATTTACAATTAATGAGAATTTACAATTACAAAAAAGTGAATCGTTCGGGCTGCTTCTCGATGTGGTGTCTGTAACGATGATGATGTCTCGACGATGACCGGATGACGTAACCTCGATCATACGGTTTCTAGGTAGTACTGCAAATTCGTTGGCCAGAGATCGTCAGGGAGCAATGTACAGCTGCAATCGTCGAGAAAAAATTCAATTAGAACGCGAGAAATTAATTAATCGAAGAATCAACGAATATTGAATTCATGCTGGAGATAACGAGCACAGACACGAAAGTAACAAACTTTCCGATGCAGCAGTTCAAAAGAAAGAAAGTTAAATGGACAAAATTAACATGGAAGAACTTAATTGATAAACAATAATTTTTATATAAATTTATATAAATAAATTCTTATATATTCTTGGTCTGAAATCACTTCTGGTTCAAATGAATTTTTAATCGAATTAAATATTATATATTCGGACAAATTTTTGTTCTAAATATTATTCTCTAGATAATATAAATATTATTCGGATAAATTTTTATTCTATAAGTATTATTCTTGATAATATATATAAATATTATTCTAGATAATATATAAATATTATTCTACATAATATAAATATTATTCTAAATAAACTTTTATACGTAGAATAAAATTGTATTCGTTGCTATCTGTCTCTTATAAATAAATTGTCTCGAATAAAACGTTGCCCAACTCTGATTAATAATACAACGATTAATCTCGGTTCGCTAACAATACTTCGACAATTTCGCCTAATTAGAAGCGCGTCTCTATCTGATCAATTTAACCGTCGACAGGATTCTTCAGCTTATTTTAATTCGAATTACCTCGGAATCCACGTCCCAAACACATTTCCCTAGTTCCCATGCGAGCTCGCAACCCTTCAACGTAGTCGGCACTGCAACAAAAATCGGAGCATCTTATTGCTAGGCTCAACTTCGATGTACAGGGTGTCCCGGAAATGTCTCGCAATCTGGAAGTGTCGTTTCGATCTTACGAGAGTTAATTTAACTCGTTCAATTTAAAATTGTTCTTCATTTCGCATAAAAATCGTTGAGAATATTATAATTACCATTGGCGTTACTATTTTATTAATGTCTTAACGAAATCTATAGAACTTATTATTATCGATGTTAAGGTATGCTTAACGATTTCCCGATTGGAAATGAACTTTCACCGAAAAGATTGCTAAAATCTAACAAGTTTCTTATATATTATTATAAATTTCTCATATTTCGTACCTCGTTCTCGACAAACCTCGACTACGTGTTCGACTCGCGGGACATATTGCTCTTCCAGCATGAGCCGAGCATTCTTAACGAACCATTCGTACTGCACCTCGTCGTTTCTCAACTGAAAGGACATAATTTTTCATCAATTACAACATGCATAGAATCTTGCAATTTATTCATTGACATACATGGTATCCCAAAATTATGTTACTTCCGGCAAATGGATTCCCGAGGCGATTCGAAGCAACTTTTTCCTTTACAGAAGTTTTCTCCGAGGCTCCGTTCACGAGTTATCAACGGAAAACGTGGACCAATCGGAGAACGAGCGCGGCCGGCGCAGCGGCGGTGGTCGCGAGGGCGTGGCGCCAGCCGCGCTCGATCTCTCATTGGCCAACATTTTTCCCTAATAACTCGTAAACGAAGCATCGGATCGCATTTTCGCTGAGGAAAAAGTTGCTTCAAATGATCCGAGGAATCCGCCACTCCACAGTAACATGATTTTGGGACACCCTGTACATAGAAGATATCGCTCACGGTCTTCGTCGTGGTTAGTATGCACTTCATGTAGCACATCAATCTCTCGTCCTTCGGGAACTCGCCTTTGTGTTGTCCGTCCAATAGTTCTGCGCGACAAAAATCGACGAGAAAAAAAAGAAAGAATGAAGTCGCGGACTATAGTTCGTCGGACTATACATACAACGAGCTACACATAATCGAATAACCGATTCGATTCTCCGCTGATCGTACCTTTGGTTGCGTTCGTCTTCTTCTGGCAGGGCTTCCTGAGATTCTTCACGGTGTTCTTGGCCTCGTCTATTGTCACTTTTTTCTACGAATGCAAATTAAGTCACATCGTCGCGCGGTTCGCGAACACCGAATGATCGATATCAAACTCACGCTGTCGGCTTCCCAGATGATCGCAAGCATTAACAGAAATCCCATCGCGAAGGCGATGCTCAGGTTCCTCATTTTGAACTGCTACAGGCCCCGCCCGATTTCAATTCTATTTCCAGAGCCAATTTATTATGTTATGTTATATATACATAATATTGTATATAAGTTGTTATATATATATTGTATTGTATATATGAGTTATTATATATATTATATTGTGTACATGAGTTATTTTATATTATATATATGAGTTATCATTTTTTATTGTATCATATGTATATAATTTTATTATATTATATATATGTATTTAATTTTGGAGAACGAGAAGTTGTCACAGCAAAATTCTCAATTTTGATTTCCCTTTTGAATTGCAATCAGCCAGATTGGAATACACTGTCGTAAAAAGTGGAAAAAAGATAGAAAGATAACCTCAAAAAATTTATATATATTATCATCATTATTATTATTATTATTATTACTATTATTATTATTAATATTATAATTATTATAATAACTCCAGTAAACGAGACAACGAAGTGAAATGCGTACCAGGCCGAGCACTATGCGGAGTCGTTCGCCCGGCGAATAAAAAAGCGAGGAAGAAAAGAAAACTATTCGAGCGCGAGCCAAGAGCCCCGGCACCCTTTTATATTCAGCGCGCGGCGGCGGCGGGCCACGCGGGCAGTAGGAGAACGACCAATTTTTGTGTCTTTGGATGATCCGGCGTCTGGCCCGTGATTAGTCCGTTGACCGTGTGATTAAATCGCGAACGCAATCTCCGTTTCCGAGGATGATCCCGGAGGTTAATAGCTGTGCCGGAAAAGGAGGAGCGACGCGATCCACGTAATACCTTGCGCCAGGATGTGCGCAGGGATTATGCAACGCTTCCCACCGTCGCCGCCGTCATCTCCGCGGCTGTTTTCCGTCGGGACGCCTCGTGCAGTCTCGATTACAGCTAATCGAGAGGAGTCCGACGGTCGGATTATTCTGGAGACGCTGCGTTTCGATGCTAATCGTCGATTATTCAGAATTATAAATACGAGCCGCGAGGCACGAATAATCGCGTCCGCTCGTGCCAAATTGTCCAGTTTTTTTGCGCAATGGGAGCGGCAATTAGAACGAGGATAGTGCAATGAGAAATATCGAGAAGAGATATTTATAGTTTGAACGTGCATCAATTGATTAAATGTGTTCGCCTAATTTTATTCGCGGTATTGAAATCTTCATTTGAGGGTTGTGGCATGTGGCTCGTTCTGATTGGTCACTGCTTTTCGTTAATAACTTGTGAACAAAGATGTGGATTGCATTTTTGATGAGGAGAACGTTGGAATTGCCTTCGAATTGTGTTACGTGGCCTCCGAATTGTATTCGAATTGTAGTCGAATTGTATTCGAATTGTATTCGAATTGTAGTCGAATTGTATTCGAATTGTATTCGAATTGTATTCGAATTGCCTTCAAATAGTGTCATGTGGCCTTCGAATTATTTTCCAATAGTGTCACGTGGCCTTCGAATTGCTTTCCAATAGTGTCACGTGGTCTTGGAATTGCCTTCGAATTGTAGTCGAATTGTCTTCGAATTGTCTTCGAATTATAGTCGAATTGTATTCGAATTGCCTTCGAATTGTAGTCGAATTATATTCGAATTGCCTTCGAATTGTAGTCGAATTGTAGTCGAATTGTATTCGAATTGCCTTCGAATTGTAGTCGAATTGTCTTCGAATTGCCTTCAAATAGTGTCACGTGGCCTTCGAATTGTCTTCGAATTGCCTTCGAATTGCCTTCGAATTGGAAAAAAATTAGAAATAAAAAAGTTAAGTCGTCGTTTTTATTCTGGCATCATTCTGTATTCATATTAACGTACACAGGAATAATTATGAGCAAAATATTAGTACACGAACGGATTAATCTGTAAAATATTGATATAGAAAACGTTCTTATACAGAATCACGCGTCCATTCACAGACTTCTGTTACCGAAAATCAGACCGATTTCTTTACATTTTTGCTAAGTGTCCGTTGCTAGGATTTCGTAATAAAATCTCGATTTCCCCCCCAAAAAAACAACTTGATTCACGTAGCGTCTGCTCGATCGTGGTACTTAGATCGATTACGGGAAGAAGAACGCTTCCGGGTCCGCGTCGTAGACGCATTTCGTGAATCGGTAGGTCAGACTGCACTCGTCAGGCTCGTTGAACTCTGCGCACAGAGAATCGAAAAGTTTCGCGTCAGATGCCGCGCAAATGGAAGGAGACGATTCCTCAGGCGATTTTGAGTAACTTTTTCCTCAGCGAAAATGTTCTACGACGCTTCGTTCACGAGTTATTAACGAAAAACGCTGATCCAATGAGAGATCGCGTACGGCTGGCGCTCCGCCCTCGCTCTCCGATTGGCCCACGTTTTTCGCTGATAACTCGTGAACGAAGCCTCGTAGAACTTTTTCGCTGATGAAAAAGTTACCTGAAATCACCTCAGGAATCATTCAGTGTCCACGAATGTTTTAAATAATAGCCTTACCTTGCGCCAAGCAACTTTTAATCGCCGCTTTGAATCGGGGCAGCGACTCGATCGGCATTACATCCATTTGTCGTACTATCATTTTGCCGTCAATGCCTCCGTTCTTGTACTAACACAGAAACGTTATGATAACACAGCTACAGTAACAGCTAGTTAAGACAGTAACAAAGTTAATTGTTGCTTACACTGTTCAACGACTTCAAGATGCAGAATGTGTAGCACGAAAGATTCTGGTCGTCCGGAAATTCTCCTTGTTTCAGTCCCATGACCAACTCTTAAAAATTCGTACAAAAATTCGAATCAGCCTTTCAGCTTACTAAATCCATGGGAGAATTTGTACAATATATTGTGCAATATAATATTGTATATGCAATGGTAATTATGTAATAATATATTACAAAATATATTGCTAATAACCCCGTAGGGTGTTTCATTGCTTAATAATAAATAGTATAATAATAATAAAATAATAGAAAATAAAGAAAAACACTATAACACAGAGCTTTAGTAATATAATATGATAATATAATAATGTAATAATATATATATATTAAAAAACGCAGATGCGACGTTAAATAAATCAAATCGAGAAGAAAAATATTGCAGGAAATGCATGGGATATATTGTATAAAACGATGCCGCGGTGCTGCAAGTGCAACGGATGACATCGACGACGACTCGAAAAGCGCGATTCAAGTGCAATTCTTTTTTTACCTTCGGTCGTTTCGGATTTCTGCACGCAGTTCCGTCGCATCGCGGCCGCCATTTTCTCGAATTGTTCCACAGAGATGGCCTGCAATCGACGAATGTAATAGAGATTTTTCCGCTACGATGTCGTCGCGGTTTCTCACGTTACATTCAGCTTTTCACGAAGCTGCTCGAGCTTTTCGCGGATCGTGTTAGGTATTTTTCAAAGAAAACACACAGTTTTGCAAATATAAATACGATAACTTTCGGTCACCCTGTATATATAAACCGCTAGAATATTATAGGTAATTGTGTTATATAAAATATGAAAAATATATTATAGAAAATAGATAATTATATTATGTCAAAAATATAAAACATATATTATATAAAATAGATAATTATATTATATAATATATATTCTATATATTATAGAAAATATTTAATATGTATATTATACAATATATATTCTATATATTATAGAAAATAGATAACTATATTATATAATATATATTCTATATATTATAGAAAATAGATAATTATATTATATAATATATATTCTATACATTATAGAAAATAGATAACTATATTATATAATATATATTCTATATATTATAGAAAATAGATAATTATATTATATAATATATATTCTATACATTATAGAAAATAGATAACTATATTATATAATATATATTCTATATATTATAGAAAATTATAGATAAATTATAAAATTATAGATAACACG